GTGACTATTGGACTACTAGCCAGCCTTTACAGCACTAACCTGAACTCCACCCTCAGAAGCACTAACTCAGGCTAATAAAGGTGCCTGTCCCAGAACAAACCATGAGCCAGTGGGCTCGTGTATACTTCATACTTTTCATACTATAAAGTAATTACTTTATAGTATGAAAATGATAACTTAGGAAATGCTTAGAATTACCAGAAATATGCATTTATTTCACCTACTTAGAACTTAAAACAAACTAATGAAGAATTCCTTCAGGGCAGCATTAGCCTCACATTCACAACTAAAACAACTGGAGTTATGAGCCTTGTACATTATAAGTCTATTATATCCTCTATGCTTTATTTGTTTCTGGGGTTTAGATATTGTCTGCCACCTATGATCCAGCTCCTTAGATTACTATGGATGACTCAGAACCTACACAGCCAACTAACACTGGCATTTATTATTATAATCTAATTTAATCCACAGTTTGGTGTGAAAGGATCAAGGTTCAATCAGTGAAGCAGATTCTAAGATGGAAGAGTATATTAGGTACTGTTAACAAAAAATACTAAAGTCAAATTCAGTAATTTTACCATATATCCTATTATGCAGAATTTCAAATGTATTCTATGTGGTGCTTTTAACTCATCGCCCTAAACTGTTGAAGTTTTAGTGCAGAATGAATATACAAAGAAAAGCAAAAATAAAGAGAGAGACACGCATGTGTTTGGCAATCTTATCATTATTGTGATGTCTTGTAAAGCTTTAATTCTTAAAAGATTACAGGTAAAGCAGTTAGCCGAATAATTTATACAATATATAAGCAGATGTTAGAATAGAATAGAATAGAATAGAATAGAATAGAATAGATCTTTATTGTCACTGTTACAAGAACAATGAAAGACAGTTTGGCATCTCTCCATTAGCAGTATGTAGATTTTAACATTCCTTTAGAATAAGAGTTAAAAAAGGGAAACCAAAAAAATCGACTTAAAGTTAAAGACGTACCTACACAGGGAATAATAATAAGTGTCTACACAGATATGTAAATTATAAAGGAGCAAGTATCATATAATGAGCGAGTGATATAAGGTCCAATGTAATCGGTGGTAGTGCACATTGAGGTTCCATTATAATAAATACAGTTTATAAATAGAGGCAGGAATGTTGGTTACATTATACTATAATAAATGTGGTTTATAAATACAGTGGAAATGTCCATAAGTGTTATCTTGCCTGCTGTTATAAAGCTTGATTAATAACAATGGTGGAATTTGAGCGGAGAATAAACAGCTGGATCCACAAAGTATGCACAAGGGAACTAAAACAGACACTCTGGCCAAGAATGAGGGGAGAAACCACAGAGAGAAACACCCTGAGGGTGTCCGGTGTGGCAGATGTGTGGAATATATCAGGACCCAAAATGCAGCAGCTCAGGTGCAGGTGAGTATTTATTAAACCAAAAGGAAATACAAACAACAATGGCACTGGGAACATAAAACTAGAACCTAAACTGGGTAAAACTAACAAAACAAACCAGAAACGAAGATGCAGGGAGGTCTGGGGAAATACATACGGAGAGACGCAGGGAGACCGAGGGGAAACAACACAGACGAACCAGCAACGAGGACGAGGTAACACACACTATAAATACACACGGCGGGAATCAGGGGATGGGAAACAGGAGGGGAACACACCTGGAAGACATCACAGCTGACGAGGCAGGGGAAACAGAACACACTGACATAAGACACAGACTTTCACAATAAAACAGGAACTTACACATGCAAAGACACAGACTAAGAAACGCGGACTTAACACAGGAATACATGGGCAGAACAAACACCAAACAGAGGAGGAACAGAACCAAAATCACAATAATAGAAAACACAAAACGCTGGGTCAAAAGGACCCAGGATCATGACAGTGGCTGTCCCTATTGTTGCTGGGGACTTTAATAAGACATGTTTGAAATCTGTACTCCCCAAAGTCCACTAACATGTTAAGTGTCCTACCAAGGGGGAACTGGACACTGGAACATGTATATACAGTAACATCAAGCAGAAAACAACACCCCTCCCCCACCAACGATAATCGACCACCAGACTGTTTTGATCTGACAGACTGTTCTGTCTTTGAACAGCAAGATCCGGAAAAACTTCACTCAGTATGTTCTTCTCTACATTAAGTGTTGTCCAGAGAACGTGACAGTGACCAAAGCCATTCCAGGTTTTTCCTAAGCAGAAACCTTGGATGACGAGTGAAGTAGAGGCTCTGATCAGAACGGATAACTCAGCTTTCAGGCTGAGGGACAATTTTAGGTCCAGCACTGCCAGAGCTAACTTGAGGAGGGGCATCAAATAAGCCAAAGACACTTACAGGAGATGGATAGAGGGCTTCATCACTAACACCAACCCTCATCAGGTGTTCAAGCCCTCATCAGCTAGAAAGGCCAGAACCCCCAAACCCATGACAAGTTTTTGGGCACCTACATCTCCGCCGAAGGCCGAGCAGTGGCTGCCCTTCCTCCATGTCCTAAGGAAGAATAAGTTGGACCAGAAGCAGCTGCTGCCTCAGTGGAGGGCATGCTCTCCTACTCCCTGGGTGTTTTCTACACAGGGGCCACACCTGAGAACAGGAAGGCTGCACAGAGGGTAATTAGTAGAGATGCTTTACTTCTCTCTGGGAAAACTTCCTCGGAGATGAAATGCTGGTTTGCTAGCAAGGCTACAAATACACACAGCGGCTCTATCACGTGACGCATACTGCTGCGACGTGCTACGGTTATGAGCCGAGTTACGCCATGTAGCAAGCTTTGTGAGGTGCTTTTTTGATATTTAATGGATCGGATTACATTTTTTATTTCTCGCCGATATCCGATCCAGTAATTTGGGTCAGTATCGGACCGATACCGATACGTAATATCGGATCGGTCCATCTCTAGTAATTAGCACTCCTTTCTTTGCAGTTCCCTCACCACTTCAGCTGTAATTTCCCAGTCATCTAGTAACTCTTTGTTGACTCCTCCTCCTGGAATACAGGGAAGCAAACTGGAATACAGGGGGGGGTC